ATACTGGTTTACATGTAAAAACCCCTATTAAGTTGCATTATACTGGTTTACATGGAAAAATCCCCATTAAGTTGCATTATACTGGTTTACATGAAAAAAAACCCTATTAAGTTGCATTATACTGGTTTACATGAAAAAACCCTATTAAGTTGCATTATACTGGTTTACATGGAAAAATCCCTATTAAGTTGCATTATACTGGTTTACATGGAAAAATCCCTATTAGGTTGCATGATTACACTGAAGTCCTTGAAACTGCTGAAGTCCTTGAAACTGCTGAAGTCCTTGAAACTGCTGAAGTCCTTGAAACTGTTGAAGTCCTTGAAACTCTTGAAATCTTGAAACTGCTGAAATCCTTGAAACTGTTGAATCCTTGAAACTGTTGAATCATTGAAACTGTAGAAATGTCTGAAAGAGCTGAAGTCCTATTAAAATGCATGGGCCTATTAAAATGCATTGCAGAATTCTCAATGCAGATTTTTGTCCGATTGCGGAAAAACCGGAAATCGCTGAAGTCCCAAAAGTAATAGCAATAATCTCCCAAACATGTGGAACGTTTTGATGTATAACTTGTGGAAATTGTTGAAAATGTGAAAGCTGTGAAACGTGTCAAAAAAAATGACGGAATAAAGAAATACAAAACCAATGGTTGACTGCGGAAGGTTCCGCAGTCAATCAATAATACTGAGTCAAGGAGTTAATCCTGAAGTTTCCACATCCAAACATGTGTATAAAGAGTCACTCACTCTGGTGCCATCATCTTTTCGCTAAAACTTTAACGATCCTCTGTCATTTAAAAACCATGCATTGCTTTTCCTCATGTCCCCAGTTTGTCTTTAGGGCCAAAAATGTAGAATGAGGGCATTTTGAGGGATTTAAGGACATCACGTCTTTGTTCTTTGTCTGGAAATCCCTGAGGTCATTTATATTCGACACACATTTAAATAAAGTATTAGTGCAAACTAATATTGCACGCCCCACTTTTCAGTTTTTTTATTTGTTAAAAAAGTTTAGATTATCCAATAAATTTCGTTCCCTCTTCACGATTGTGTCCCACTTGTTGTCGATTCATGACAATTTTTTTTAATTTTATATCTGTGTTTGAAGCCTGAAATGTGGCGAAATGTTGAAAGGTTCAAGGGGGCCGAATACTTTCGCAAGGCACTGTAAGTTTGACCTTTTCACAGACTCCCCGCTCTCTCTGTAGTGGAGCTGACCTAAATACACCCCAGATCCTGTCACACCTCTGAATCTAAGCACAGCAGGGCCTGGTTAGTGCTGTGATGGGAGACCTCTGAACAGCAGGTGCTACAGTGGGTCAGCTGCGGCTGTAAAGTGCCAAACTGTGGTTGTGTCCTTAGGCAAGACACTTCCCCCACATTAGAATGAGTCTGGTGTGTGTGAATGGTTGGTGGTGGTGGGAGGGGCCGATGGCACAGACTGGTTGCCCTGCTGCTGTCAGTGTGCCCCAGGGCAGCTGTGGCTACAGTAGTAGTTTATCACTACGGGGTTTGGAGAGAATGAATAATGATGGAGAGACTTTGAGAGTCCAGAAAAGCACTCTATGAAAGTGATTAATACTAATATTATTGGATCGGTTCTTTCAGTAATGTAGCTGACATATATAAACATAAATCTCTCTCTGTAGTGTAGCTAACATATATAAACATAGTTCTTTCTCTGTAGAGTAGCTAACGTATATAAACATAGCTCTCAGTAAAGTAGCTAACATATATAAACATAGATCTCTCTCTGTAGAGTAGCTAACATATATAAACAGATCTCTCTCAGTAATGTAGCTAACATATATTAAATATAGATAGATTATAAACATAGATAATAATGCATCGGTTTTATATAGCGCTTTTTTGGACACTCAGACGCTTTACATGTCATTATTCATTCACTCCATACACGGTGGTGATAAACCCAGGGCAGCTGTAGCCACAGCTGTAGCCACAGCTGCCCTGGGGCACACTGACAGAAGCGATGCAACCAGTATGTGCCATCGGCCCTTCCGACCACCACCAACCATCCACACACACCAGACTCATTCTAGGCAATGGGGGTAAAGTGTCTTGCCTAAGGACACAACAGCCGTTTGGCACTTTACAGCAGCAGCCGCCCCACTGTGGCTGGTGTTCACAGAGGTTAAGTGCCTAGCCAAGGACACAACGACAGCAGGAGTCGATGGTGAAGGTCGGGCTTGAACCCACGACCCTCTAACTCAAAGGCCAATGCTCTACCAACTGAGCTACTGTCGCCCCTATCTCTCTCACTAATGTAGCTAACATATATAAACATAGATCTCTCAGAGTAGCTAACATATATAATCATAGATATCTCTGTAGAGTAGCTAACATACAGTATATAAACATAGATCTCTCTCAGTAGAGTAGATGACGTCCACTCTTGAATCTGCCGTGGTGGATCTGCAGGTGACCAGAGGAAGGAGTTCATGTTGGCACGAGTCCAGAGTCTGCTGCAAGGTCAGAGACATGTATGTGGCTCTGCACGGCTCTGCAGCAACGCTAATCTATGCTATGCTAATGTCCTGTATAGTACATTACAGTATTTCATATTCATGTAGCTTCTATGCTCCATGTTCATGCACTAGGGCGTCTGTGAGAGTCCAAAAAGCACTATAGAAGTTAGATTTATTATAATTATTATACATTAATTATTATACGCCCAAAACAGTGAGGCTTTAAATAAGAAAAACTGGTGAAAGTGACGAGAAAAATACAGCTATAACAGTCACTAGCACTTTCTTCTTCTCTGTTGGAAGACCAGCTAAGAATGATGGTCTGAATATATACGTTATAATGAATGGGGCGGTGGGTGCAGCTTGGCGGGGGCCAGGGGTCTGCTGAAGGTCAGGTTTCAGGATAGAAGGGGGGGGGTCATGTAACAGCGAAAGAACAGCCCGTACAATCGCTGCAGGAGTCTCCCCGCGGCGCACAGACATGTACCAAGAGGTGTGCTGAGTCAGTGTTTATGTAGTGTCTGATGTATTTGGGTAAAAACTCCAGTTACTGAAGGAAAACTGGAAAAACTAATATCAGGAGTTATCACAGTCCTTCACAAGCTTAACCATAACCCCGGGCACGGTAAGTTTATTTGTATGACACAATTCATACACAAGGCTTAACTCAAGACAGAAACTACCACAGGGTTTTCAAATAATAAACAATCACTGTACATAAAAAAGTTAAAGATAAAGATAAAAACCTTAAAGTCATATTCACAGCTAAAAAGAACAGTTTAACAGAAAAGAGGCCTGTGCCACATTTTCAAGAAGATTGTTCCAGATTTTAGCTGCATTAATCTGAAATGCTGCCAGACCCCAGTCCCTCAGCTTCTAACCCCAACACAGATTTGCCTAAAAACCAATGTGTCTGAAATCTGTGGCTTTTGAGATGATTGAATAAAAATGTATTTTTTCTGTGATAAATTAAATCACTGCAGTAGTCTCAGAGGGCTGCACAAAGTTATTGATTCACCAACAACAGATCAGAAAATCAAACAGTTAAAATTGAGGAAATACAACAATAATAAACACATGAGACATTGGTGAATGTAGAGTCCTTAACTGTTAATAAATGTCCTTAAATGTATAGACATGTATTAATGTATTTATCAGTGTATCTTAGCAAAGGCACTTTAATATTATGTATTTGTTTTACTTGTGGTTATGAAAGCCCAGGATAAGAAATCCAAAGTATAAGTTTGTGCAGAAATGGCCGATAAATCAGTTGTAATGACCCAGAAGTTATTTCAGGAAAGTGTTCAAAGTATTTCCTTCAAAAATACAGTAAAACACTTAATGAGATTTGACAATAGTTGTGATGTTTTTTTAACTGGGACCTGCAGCGCTGTGGGAAGTTCCCAGTTCAAGCCAAACACGATAGAGAATAATGTCGTCGTCTCATTTCTTTGTTTAGAAGAAAAGGTCAAACTCTGCAGACCATAAAGACCTGATGAAAGACAAATGTTATACTTTTGTTCATTCATTGTAAATTTCTCCTGTGTGAGATCAATAAAGTCTATCTTATCTCATCTATAAGTTCAATCATTTAAAGTAAAACTGTAGACACTAAAATACACAGCACTGACTTTGAAACCACAGAGATCATGTAAAAACAAACCAAACATATTTTCTTCGCCCTGAATCACATCCGTAGTTTTCTCTGAGGACTTTACAACGCTGTAGATTCTCCAACACAGATCAGAGAAGCAAACAATTCAAACCAGTGAGGACGGGTCTCGGCTTAAAAAGGTCCACAAGCATGTGGCCTGACAGGCTGTAATCTCACTCCGGACCTGTGGGGGTGCACCCGGAAAGAGAATTACCCACTGAATTCTATTGACTTCTTTTATCCTCTCGAAAACATCTTTACTGGATGGTCCAAAAGTGGCTCTTGGTCCAAAAGTGGCTCTTGGTCCAAACGTGGCTCTTGGTCCAAACGTGGCTCTTGGTCCAAACGTGGCTCTTGGTCCAAACGTGGCTCTTGGTCCAAAAGTGGCTCTTGGTCCAAAAGTGGCACATACTTTTCAAAAAAGGAAAAAGGCGTCTTTATATTTACAGTCTATGGTAAATACCTGCAGGAATTTTTTCTTAGAATATAGAGATACTAGAATTTACAAGTCTGACCATTCAATGAGTTTAAAGATTCCACTCTCAGACCATAGACATAAAACAATACTGCTTCTCACGTAGTTTTTTTTTTTTTAATATAAAAAGGCATTAAAAAAAGGACAAGATTACAAAACAATTTAGCCAATGTCAGTTAATGCACATACTTTGACATATGCAAACGCATTTATGACCGAGGGCATTAGGCTGAAGTATAACACGTGAAAATCATTAAACACTGTAATTTTCTTTAACCACAGGATTTATGGCCAACATTGTACACATAAAAAACAAGGTTAAAAGCCCAGTGGCGGCGGCGAAAGCTTTCACGGTCAAATCCATTGCTGGTTAAACAGCGGCAGTGTTACTCAGCACTATCTCTGCGGGACAGTGAAGGCCCTGTTAGCTCCTGCACCACAGAGACCGGCTTTGTGGCTGAAAAAGTCCAATCATAAGCTCAGAGTCCAAAAACACTTAGCTCATGTTGCTCTACTGTGGCAGGGTTAAAGGGGACATAACATAGCATTAGCTTATCCACATTCTCACCATGGTACAGTCATTTTCCTTTGTTATTTGGTGTCTAAATCAGTGTCTGTAATAAACACTGTCCTTAAAAGGCCGGTGTGGCTGCAGGTTAGTAATGCTTATTTATACAGCGCATTTTAACAGAGAAAGGTCACTTAAATCGCTTTACATTGTTGAGTTCAGATATTTTTCCATTCTCTCCACACGGTGATGATAAAAACCAAAACAGACTGGTCCATCAAAGCCTCCAACCAAACACCATTCACTCACTCGATACATTCAGACTACTGTACAGGTTTTAGTGGTAGGAGAAACCACAGCACCTGGAGGAAACCTACGCAGGAAACCTACGCATGCAAACCTTCTTGCTGTGAGGCACAATCTCTAACCACTGCCGCCGTGTCGCCCGCATTCCAACCAATCAGGAGCACACCAAACTCCACCCATTTCCTAATTTTTTCGGGTTAACACTGAAAATCTATTTATTTATTTCATTAATTTTATTATTTTTGTTCTTTTCATGGTAATGCAACAAAATATCACAATAATCCAGCAAATATAATTCATTATGCTAAATTTGGAGATTATAAATGGCTTCCATATTATGATAAAGATTTTATTTTAAGTTTTTTTAGCTAGTATTTTGTTCAGATCTGGAACAAATCTCAATTATTCGGGTTAAGACTGGAAATCTATTTCATTTATCTAATTAATCACAACAATCCATGAAAGGAAGAACAAGAGGAAGAAAAAAAATTATAAACTCCTCCCACATTCTTAGATAAAGAAATGTACAAATCTAAGGTGCAATATAAATACATTACAATCATTCAGCTGATGATGCTTATAACTTTGATAATATGAATCCAGCTCTTTCCTCTTGATCATAAACGCCGCTCCAAATTTAATTTCTATTAAACCTAAAGCTCGGTCGCCATGACAACGCTCCTATAGATCTATACATCTCCTGTTACAGCGCTAACCTTGTTCATATCCTCAGACTGCGTTACAGGAACAGGAAGAGTTTGGAAATCTAAGATGTCGAAAACAAAACCAGAAGCAAACGGTAAACTCACAATAATGTATGTTTTCAAAAAGAGTCAGAAACAGGATATTTCAAAACATCAGAGTATTTTAGAGAAACCACAGATCCCTCTGAACTTATGGAAATATATGTTGATAAAACTATTGCTACAGTTAATGACACAAAGGAGCAGCACGACGCAAAAATATTTTATTGTTTTGATAATATTAACTCATATTGGGCTAAAATGTTGTTCTAAATGTCTTAAAGGTCCAGAGCATTCTTTTAAATAGAATCTCTAGCTTTAGCATAATAAAGAAGCTAGCATAAAATCTCTAGCTTTAGCATAATAAAGAAACAAGAAGCTAACCCAGCTTTAATTAGTGCTTAGCTCAAAACAACTTAAACGGCCAAAACTCTGCCAAGCCAAGCATTAAAGAAAACCAAACCCTATTAAACTGTTTTCACTTTTGAAACATGAATGAATGGAGCCGTTGATTGGAGTCCGTTGGGCACATGAGAAAACCACATGTGGGGGCGAGAGAGAGGGCGGGAGAGAGGGCGAGAGAGGGGGCGAGAGAGAGGGCGAGAGGGGGGGCAAGAGGGGGGGCAAGAGAGAGTGCGAGAGAAAGGGCGAGAGAAGGGGCGAGAGAGAGGGCGAGAGGGGGGGCAAGAGAGAGGGCCAGAGAGAGTGCCAGAGAGAGGGCGAGAGAAAGGGCGAGAGAGAGGGCGAGAGAGGGGGGGGGGGGGCGAGTCATGAGGTTTAAAAACCACCAAAAGCACGCCCAGGACCCAGACAGGAAGCACAGGACGCGGTGACACATGCCCAAAGTCCCCATTCACAAACACACACCACGGAGGACTCAGAGCTGCTAATGCTAATGCTAATGCTGATGCTAATGCTAACACTGTTTACAGAGAGTCAAAAAGACGTCTGGAGGAATTTACAACACTCATTAGATCAGTCAATTATTAATTACTATAATGCATCGGTTTTGAATTGGACTCTCAAAGTCTCTTCACATCATAATTCTTTCTCTCCATACTCAGTGGTTATAAACTACTAGTGTGGCCACAGCTGCCCTGGGACACACTGACAAAAGCGGCCCCTCAGTGGGCCCCCAGTGCTATGTTTTTAAGATAATAACTATAGCATTGTTTGAGTTTCCACATCTCTGGCATACAAACAGCACTCATTATTCTGTTTTATGTCTTTGATTCTGCCGGTTGTGTTTTTTGCTTTGGATTTTGTACGTTTATCTTTGTTTTGTCTTGTTTTTTTTATTTCTGATCTTGTTTTTTACGACAAAGTCAATAAGTGTTTGAACACTGAATATCATAGTTTCCCTACAGTTAGCTCCATGACTGCCCTGATCCCTGCCCTTTAGTCTCATCATTACTTTAGTCATATACATACACACATACATATACATTTATACACACACACACATATACGTGTATAAAAGCAGACTGTCAGAGTAGGAGGTGAAAGCGTCTGATGAAGTGGATGTTTATAAAAGTGCAGTGAGAGAAACAATGTGAGGCTGTGACAGAGCCACAGCCCACAATGCACCAGTGTCTCTCTGTGTGTGCATCTCTGTGTGTGTCTGTGTGTGCGTGTGTGTGCGTTTGTGTGTGTGTGCATGTGTATTTCTCTGTGTGTGTGTGTGTGTGTGTGTGTGATGGAGCAAACACTGTCCTTGTGTGGCCCTTGCCCTTGTCGACCTCCACAACAACATTTCTCTCTTTTGCTCTGATCCAAATAAAAACATAAAAAGAGGTCTGTCCCAAACATAGACCGCTCTTCATTCATTCATCCATTCATTCATTCATCTCCAAACGCTACAGTTGTGTCAAAGGAAATTACCACAAAACTCACTGTTTTTGGACTTCAAAGTTCTCGTCGTACTTATCAGAATCAGAATCTTCTTATTGCCATGTGAGTAACAGGAAGTCACAAACTCGGGAATGTCTTTGGCTCTCGCAGCAAACGAGTTAAATCACAATAAAATCAAAAGGCATAAATAAAGATCTACATTTTTCAGATTAGGAAATAGACACAAGTTTAGTTTCCATCTTTTGCCCAAGCACAAGTTAGAGAAGAAGTTCCATTTATTTCATCCTTGTATCGTCTGAAATCCCAGCAGTAGTTTTACTTTACTAAGCTGTCGATTCTCCAGCACAGATCAGAGAATCAAACAATTCAAAACCAGGAAATGCACTGATAACAAAACAAATTTGGTCTTTGGAACTTGTTCATTGCATAAAGAAAATAAGCCAAACTTTTCTTTCTAGGAGCTTTAATAACAAAATGAGTTAGTTTTTTTGTTTTAAAGATGACTGTGGGAAACGTCCATAAACCCTAAAGTAATCTCTGTATGTACCGCCTTTTCACTGAGCATTTGTCTCTCACTCCACACAGAGACGGGAGCGGGGTCGCCAGTACAGGAGGCGCATGCCAGACCTATTGTACATATTTTTAGTGGTAGGGGAAACCCGAGTACCCGGAGGAAACCTACGTAGACACGGGGAGAACATGCAAACTCCACTCAGAAAGCCCTGGTCCAATCGGGATTCGAACCCAGGACCTTCTTGCTGAGAGGCGAGAGTGCTATCCACTCAGCCACCGTGCCGCCTAAAGTGAAGTTTATGTGTTTTCAAAAGGAGTGGACCAGTGAAGCCTCAAAAAACATCAGTAATTATTTTGGAATGGGCCGATAAGACATAGTACTCCAATAGGAAGTCTTCACCCCTCATGCTTTTCTAAAACACAGTAACCTAACCCATTCATGAGGCCTAAAAACCTTTTAACCCTTCATGTTTCTTTTTGATGTTTTTATGAACTTCTGATTAATTTGCTTTGTTTTGTTGTTAGTGGTTTTGTATTTTAATCTCTAGCACATTGAGGTTTCCTGGAAATGTAATGTGCAATATAAATAACATGTATTTTGTATTATTATTATGTCCTGGACCGACTCTGTCCTGTACTGGACCGACTCTGTCCTGTACTGGACCGACTCTGTCCTGTACTGGACCGACTCTGTCCTGTACTGGACCGACTCTGTCCTGTACTGGACCGACTCTGTCCTGTACTGGACCGACTCTGTCCTGTACTGGACCGACTCTGTCCTGTACTCTGGACCGACTCTGTCCTGTACTCTGGACCGACTCTGTCCTGTACTGGACCGACTCTGTACTGGACCGACTCTGTACTGGACCGACTCTGTACTGGACCGACTCTGTACTGGACCGACTCTGTACTGTACTGGACCGACTCTGTACTGGGCCGACTCTGTCCTGTACTGGGCCGACTCTGTACTGGGCCGACTCTGTACTGGGCCGACTCTGTACTGGGCCGACTCTGTACTGGACCGACCGACTCTGTACTGGACCGACCAACTCTGTACTGGACCGACCGACTCTGTACTGGACCGACCGACTCTGTACTGGACCGACCGACTCTGTACTGGACCGACCGACTCTGTACTGGACCGACCGACTCTGTACTGGACCGACCGACTCTGTACTGGACCGACCGACTCTGTACTGGACCGACCGACTCTGTACTGGACCGACCGACTCTGTACTGGACCGACCGACTCTGTACTGGACCGACCGACTCTGTACTGGACCGACCGACTCTGTACTGGACCGACCGACTCTGTACTGGACCGACTCTGTACTGGACCAACTTTGTCTGAGAGGGTCTGAGAGACACATTTTGCCCAATGTACTTATTTTTCTCCACTTTTTGCAGTGCGTGTTTGTAAATACTGAACAATACTGGGAATATAAACCAATTCTTGTTTAGAATCTTGAAATAAAGGAAATAAAATGGAATAAAACTTTGTCGTTCTTTTTCTGGTCGTTATCGGATCTAAAACCCTCATTATCAACTCTCACTTCTTAGTTTCAGTTTCGTTATTGACAGTCGAGTTAATCACAGACATACAAATGTGATCAATAATTCAGCTAAATTAAAGGTGATGACAGATTCTGGGTCCAAATTAAAACAGAAGAAACGGAAAAAAAGAACAAACTAATAGAAAAAAACCGTATGTGACTTTTTAAAATGGGAAGTTGGAAAATAGAACAGAAACAGTGAGTCAGAAGATTTTCACAAGATGCAGTGGAAAAAACAAATGTTAAATGTCTCTGACCACGAAGAAAATGTTCTCAAAATGATTAAAACTCAACAAAGGAACGACAGAAACGAGAAAAATGAAGAAATTGTTGGACGCAGATGAAGAGGATCCAGTTTCTCTCTGGTTCAGCAGCTCTCAGGGATTTTACCATCATCAAGAAATACTACATCAGAAAGAAGGGTTACTTTAAAAGACAACATTGTGCTCTGTCCTAACCTGGTCTTACCACACCATGGTACTCTTTTCATTTGGTATCATTTGGTTTTGGTACTACTGTTAACAGGTGGGAGGGGTCAACTCCTTTTATAGATTGAAACCATTGGATCTGAGTTTACTGTGACGTATGTAGTGAGCCAGAGTGAGTCGTTAGCATTTAGCCTAGCTTTAGCATTTAGCCTTGCTTTAGCATGTAGCTTAGCTTTAGCCATCTCCTTTGCCACTAACGGAGCCCGTGGGGAGTAGAGCCACAACATCTTTGCTTCAATGACATTTACTAAACATTCCTCTTGCTCCGGCTTCAGTTTCTTGATACTTGGATTGAACCAGAACAGATTATTTTACTGTCACATTCTCCATGGACCAGAATTTACACATGTTAAAGTGATTGTCTGGAGTTTGTCAGAAAGAGAGACAGAGAGGTACTTGATTTGAAAAAAACGACGCAAGCTCCCTCCCCCTTCCTTTCTGATTGGTCTACGTCTACGTTTCCGTAACACTTTGAAATGTTAATCAGAGAACACATTATACATATACATTATTAATACACATGCACGGAGGTTTTCAGAATTATTTGTGAACGTTTTAATGAAAAAAATGTTTTTATGCACAAAAAAAGCGATCGGGGCAAACCAGGAAGTGCTATTATTATGAATTGCACATTATAGGACACATCTGCAGAGGATCTGATTATGGATATAGGTTCAGTATATAAATGGGTAACTCAGCGCGGATGTTCAGAATTCTTTGTTCAGTTTTCATGTAGTGCAGAGCCTAATAGAGGCTTGATTCGGAGGCTCCGCGAAAACAAACAACTGAGCATGCGCGTAGCTGCGAGCATCAGCGCCGATGATTGACAGCCCTTGGCATGACTCGATTGGTTAACCTCGACGGCACCGTGTATTCTGAACTATAGCTAAGAGCAGGGAAGGCGGGACTTGCCCGTAATATTAGAATTAGTAAAATTACTTATTTTATATCAACATTTAAGGCCAGGAGGTCAATTTAACACATTTCCTAAAATTTGTAATTCATTTAGAGTTACAGCCCATCACTTTAAGACCAGACGTACATGTAGCAAATGATCATGGACCAGAGTTTACACATGGTATGACCCAGACGTACATGTAGCAAATGATCATGGTCCAGAGTTTACACATGGTAAGACCAGTTTGTAGCCACAGAACTGGTTTGTTCTGTGGCTACACATTGTCCTCCGCTGTTTTTAATGTTTAATATTATTTTGTCTTTAATTTATATTTGAGAAAGAGTCAGGTACTTCTGATGTTTGACCTATTTTTCATCACTTTTTGCAGTGTAAAGGAGAGAATATGAACTTGGGTTTCACACAAACAGGATCCATTATATAAATAGAATAAAAAAAGAAATAAAACTGAATTACGCTCGGTTCTCGTACCCGTCACGTGTTTAGTATTTACGATGATTTTACTGTACTTTGGCAGCAGATAATAGGACCAGAATAAACAATAGTAATAAAAGCAGCACGTGAAGTGACTAATGAATCATCAGAGCAGAACAATCATGCGACAAAAAGGGTTAAAAGTCTAATTTAGCGTCATGCGTTTCACTGTTGACAGAGGATTGTGTTGAAAAGCCAGAGAAGGCGTGTCCGAGTCGGGGTCGGTGTGGTCATCACATAATTCCAGTCCAAATATAAACGCAGATATCAATGCCACTGAACTTGGGCTGGGCTTCCTTTGATTGTGTGGAGGAATAGGCACGAAGTTTATGATTAAAAACTAAAAACAACTGCAGAAGGAACTTTTCAGAGGTCGTGAGTGTGAGAAGAGAAGCGGCTGCAGAGAAACTATATTCACTGTATTCTTATATAACTCTGAATCACAGGAGTTTCTCTCCGACTTTACAAAACCAACAACAACAGATCTGAGAATTAAACGGTTCAAACACAATAAATACAATGATAAAAAAACACAGACATTGGTTCAAAAGGAGCAGAGACCAAAGTCCATACAAGTAGTTTAATAATCACAGAAGGAAACTCTCAGTGACAATTGTTTACTGTTATGTATGGACTTGTGTGCACACTGGATACTTTTAAAAACGGCAAATAAATGAATCTTATTCCTCCTTATTTGAACCCAATTTTAGTTTGTGTTTTTATCTTTGCGTTTCTTTTATTTGGCCTAAAGCACTGTTGCATTTTTTTGTTAATACTTTTAGAATTATTTATTTGTTTCGATGTGTTTCTTCTGCTGGACCTTCTGTGTGGAGTTTGCATGTTCTCCCCGTGTCAAGCAGTTGAAGAATACTATGTCCAAACCCTTCATGTTTTATTTTCTCAGTATGAGCGGCTCCCTGTAAGACCTGACCTCATAGGACGAGCCCTGGTATTATGGAGTCGAGTGACTTATCAAATGTCACTACAGAGAACTTTCCAGAAAATCATTAATTCACAAATCCTTCAGTTTCTGTGTAGCAGCCTGTGAGAAACTAAAAACTAAAACTAAATTTCAAGGTCAAGAATCAACATCCAGACCTTTTTATGTCTGAATATATTTGAATCACCAAATAAAAACATAAAAACAAGAAGAAACAACAAGACATTTACGTGAATATTTAATCTTTGAGTGAAACCATCTCCTGCTTCAGTCTGAGGCCTCAAACATCAAGGTTGAGGTCTGTAAATATCACCGGAGACAGAGCACCGTAAATAATAGGATTAAGTTATTTTTCCACATTTGAGAAAGAGGAGAAGAGGAAAGATGAAGGAGCAGAGAGAACTTTCTGTGGCGACTCAAAACTAGTTATTATCGGGACAGAGGCAGAGCCAGAGACAGAGACAGAGGCAGAGACTGAAACAGAGACAGAGGCAGAGACTGATACAGACAGAAACAGAGACAGAGACAGAGGCAGAGACTGAAACAGAGACAGAGACAGAGGCAGAGACTGAAACAGAGACAGAGGCAGAGGCAGAGGCTGAAACAGAGACAGAGGCAGAGACTGATAGACAGAAACAGAGACTGAAACAGAGGCAGAGGCAGAGACTGAAACAGAGACAGAGACAGAGGCAGAGACAGAGGCAGAGACTGAAACAGAGACAGAGACAAAGACAGAGGCAGAGGCAGAGACTGAAACAGAGACAGAGACAGAGGCAGAGACTGAAACAGAGGCAGAGACAGAGACAGAGACAGAGACAGAGGCAGAGACTGAAACAGAGACAGACACAGAGGCAGAGACAGAGACTGAAACAGAGACAGAGACAGAGGCAGAGGCAGAGACTGAAACAGAGGCAGTGACAGAGACAGAGACAGAGACAGAGACTGAAACAGAGACAGAGACAGGGGCAGAGACAGAGACAGACACTGAAACAGAGATAGAGGCAGAGACAGAGACAGAGGCAGACTGAAACAGAGACAGGGGCAGAGACTGAAACAGACAGAAACAGGAAGGGAGACAGAGGCAGAGACTGAAACAGAGACAGAGGCAGAGACAGAGGCAGTGGCGGAGACAAACAGACAGAGACTGAAACAGAGACAGATACAGAGGCAGAGACTGAAACAGAGACAGAGGCAGAGACTGAAACAGAGGCAGAGGCTGAAACAGAGGCAGAGGCTGAAACAGACAGAAACAGAGGCAGAGACAGAGGCAGAGACGGAGGCAGAGGCAGAGACTGAAACAGAGACAGAGACTGAAACAGAGACAGATACAGAGGCAGAGGCAGAGGCTGAAACAGAGACAGAGACTGAAACAGAGGCAGAGGCTGAAACAGACAGAAACAGAGGCAGAGACAGAGGCAGACTGAAACAGAGACAGAGGCAGAGACAGAGGCAAGAGACAGAGGCAAGAGACAGAGGCAAGAGACAGAGGCAAGAGACAGAGGCAAAGATTTTAAAGAAGAATTTGTTATGCATGCCTTGGATCTATTTTCACCAAAGACCATTCCTAGTTTGGGACTTCCTAATAATGACAAAGGCAATAAACATAATCCTGATTCTAACTTAGATTTATTTCAAACCTGCAGAACATTATATCCCAAAACTTCACACTAACACAGGGTTGATAAGGGGTTGGATGAACCAGATGTACATATATACTATACTGTATAACCACTGCACTGGGACGGTTTGCAGCCGAGTGTGAAGCGGCTGGGATGAGAATCAGCACCTCCAAATCCGAGGCCATGATGCTCGACCGGAAAAAGGTGCCTTGCCCTCTTCAGGTGGGTGGAGAGGTCCTTCCTTAAGTGGAGGAGTTCAAGTATCTCGGGGTCTTGTTCACGAGTGAGGGGAGGATGGAGCGTGAGATTGACAGGCGGATCGGTGCAGCGTGCGCACTGATGCGGTCTCTGTATCGGACCGTTGTGGTAAAGAGGGAGCT